GCCTTCTCAACGCCACCATGACCTCTTTCTGTGCCCTATCCGTACGTTCTATATTCCGGAGCATCTCTCCAAGAAGAGCAGCAGCTTGAAATATCTCCTCGTTCAGCGCATTAACCTTCCGCACAACATCCGTAGTAGAGAGCCTGTCGGCTTTACTTAGGAACATCTGGGTGCCCTGCAACTCCTTGCCTCTGACCTCCAAAAGTGCCTTCGCATCCGCAAACTGTACTTTAACAGCCTCAAGCTCGTCCTTCAAGTTTCGGTTTTCCTCGAGCAAGCGATGGACCTGATGGTCTCGCAGTGCAATAGGGCCTTCCTCCTCCGATCTGACCACACCTGCAGGCCCTTTGCCGCTATTCCCTGCTTCAGCAATCGCATAATGTCGAGCTTCTGCCTCAGGTGCTCGGCCTGAGTCGACGCCAATTTTGCGGAGCTGACCAAGAGGGGCTTTATCGGCCATATCCCCATGTCTGCGTCCCCGAGTCGATGTCGATCCCGTGGGAGAGTCTGGTGTAGGTTCCTTTCTCTGTTGAACAACAAGATTCATCCGTTGCTTATTACCTGACGATTCAGAAGCGTTGTCAGTGAGTCCTACAGACCGCAACGGCATTGAACGTGAAGAGTAACCTGGACACCTTCTCGGAGAATGAAGGGGGGGGATCGATATGGGCGCCAATCAGAAAGAAGAAGGTTTATGGCTTATACAATTCTTGTGCCAAATACTTGCTTTCATCGGGCGTATATAATGAGTGGTGTGGCGTCCAGACAAAACTCCGATGACCTACAGGTATTATTCTCATCCTCGCCGGAGTACAGTCTCGGGAAAATCCCATAGATCTCGTGTTGGAAAGTAGCTCCCACCGGACCACGCTCACTGGACTACGACGGACTCACGCGACACTGGATGCATCAAGGTCAAGGACGATCGACTCTCTTCAAGTAGTGCCGTCACAGTATATAGAAAGAATCGTAGTCCCAGAAAATCCCTCCGCTTCGAGTTGGGTCGAACAACCTGGCGGTGATGCTCAAACTAGAGGAAGGTCCAGCATCCTCTGACCCAAGAGACATCCTTGGACCATTGGTGCGAACTGCTCAATCGGACTCGAAGCCTTGACCCTCTTCACTCTTGACAGAAGGCGCTCCTGTGAGAACAAGCGGCGTCTGCCCTGACCCAAACTTCTTACACGAAACTTCTTTCATGCCCTAACCACCTGTTACGCCACACCTCTGCCTTTCCTTGTGCTCCCTCGTCTAAGGCGCTCAAGGCAAGCTCGCGCATCTTCACCCGCGTCCGTTCATCTGCCAACCAAAATTGATGCCAATGCCATTCGCACCAAGTCCTGCTTGAGGATGGGTAGTGACCAGCCAGCGTGGACGGAGGCGATGGTGTCGTCCGATCATCCCGTGAAAATGTCGGATAGGGGGAAGGCTTTTGTGAATGAGTGTTCAGGAGAGGCGGAGGGTCAGGTGGTAGTCGTGGTAGGTATTGTATGTGAGCGACGTGAACCACCAGGAAAGAAGCCTAGGATGAAGCTCAGGGATTAAAGATATTCCGGAAAAGAGGGTGAAGCACATACCCTCGCCGGAATCCAACTATTCACAAAATAAGTGTACCGAAAGCCATGAGCTGAGAGCCTATCGTCACAGTGAACGCCATAACATGACGGAATTCAACCATCTGGAGGAAGATGCTACCAGGTTCCACAGGAAATGCGAATAGTTCTGACGAACGCTTCCGCGAGATGAATGACACCACTTGTCAGTGCAACGCTCGAAACCCCAAAACATCAGCACTGAGGCTTTGTCGGTCACGGCAATAAACTGGAACCTAAAGATAACCTAATCCGCGATATCGAATACGCCTGACACCACGGTCACTCTAAAGGACACAGTAATCAGTATCTTCTCCCCATGATATAAAAAAAGCGAAGCCAACCTAAAAATGCCCGTTCGCAACCTCGTCCAACGCCTAGAACGCTACACCTCCGAAGTCGACACGTCTTGGGCGCCGACGGTGACTTCATGCAAGTAAGAGAGGAATGGGTAACAGACGAACCCGGGAAAGATGAAGGTTTGCGCAAGAGGATCGGAACCAGAGTCCAGCTCGTTTTTTAAGCTCCCCCCGATCTCCAGATGGAGGGGGAGGTTGAAGGCTGAACTGAAAAAAATCACAACAGCGGGCTTGTTAGACAAATAACCTCGACTGTGAGAGCGTGATATGTAACATAGACTGCTTAGCCTCTTCAAAAGCGGTGAGGTGGGTTCAAACAAAATTAAAAAAAGCCAGAAAACGACGTACCGATAATGTATAAACTGCAGATTTTCTCGGTCGAGCACGAGCGATAGCTCATCGGGTTTAAGAAGATCGGGTTGGAAGACCCCACTCAGGAGCATCTCTGTCTATCAGACGAGTTCATCGCGATCTTGTGCACAATCACAGCCCGAAAAGGGTTCTCAGCCTCCTCCCTCGTTACAGGAAAATTCCGTTCATCGGCAACGTTGGCTGGCACTCTCAGAAAGCCACTTCTCGGGATGACAATCCCATGCGCATGGGACCACGTTTGAGGCACCCCGTTCGTCAAGGCTCATTCGCCCGCCTTCAGCCACGACACTTTGGGAAGGCGTTGCGCAACGGTGTGGTTTCTAGTACCACTGGGCCCAACACAATGATGGTGATTTCGTTGAGAGTGGGATTGCGGGCAGCGGGGACACATACGGGATGCCGGAGATGCTTCACAGCATTCAAGTGAGATGTGCCCCATGCTGCAACATCGAAGCACGCGTCCGTCGACAACGATTATCTGGAAAAGCTCAGCTGTTACATGTTACTTGCAACTTGACAGAAATTCGAAAAGTCAGCCAATCGGTAGCTGAAAAGCTCTGCACCAGAACGGCGCCCTACGTATGGAGAAGAGATCAGACACTGACTCGGGTAACAGTAGAACATCGACACACCGCGACCCTTCCCTGGGCCAAGTTTTGCTGTCCTGAAATGCTTTCCCCTATCGGAAAGAGCAGACTCGCTTTGCGTTCCAACTCGAATGCAATGGAAAGATTTCCCTCCTACATTTCCGCGACGAGCTCCACGTGGTAATCTTGCCGTCCATCATCATCCGTCAGAACGAAGTGTAAATTCATCAACAAAAGACCAAAAATCCTCGCTGTTGGCGCTGAAAAAGTCTGTGAGAACGTCGACGTAACTATTACATTTGGAGGTGAACGCAACTCGTCCCCAATGTTCTTCAAGGCTTCGGAAAAATGGCGCAGATTTAATTTGAACCTGGTGGTAAAAG